GTTACGAGTCAGACTCTCTAACCATTAGGCCACGACTTCCCCGTGGCTTCCCCGACTTCCCCTTAAATTGAATCTGTTCATCATATAAAGTGGTCAATTAAATGGTTCGATTACTATGGATTTGTTTTATGATGCCTTTATAAACTTCGTCAGATCTTTAAAAGTTTTGGTTGCCTGGACTTTCAATGGAGGAACAGAAACCTCTCGGGTTTCATTACAAATATCTTAATTTGTGTTTCAAAGATTAACCAAAGACTTATTGATTTGGAAAGACACAAGGGTGAGTAAATGATGACAGGATTTTCATTTTTTGGGTGAACTATCCCTTTAACACCTCTGCCAGTCATTTATTTCAGATACCAACCTGATGGTGTTATCGGAGGTCAGAAAAACCAGATGAGGCTCCTCAGTTTCGCTGGGATACCAGGCAGCCTGTCGGAGCGTCACAGAGGGAGAACTAGTGAAGAAACGTTCAGCCACAGGAATCGTCCTGCAAAAAAGGAAACACATAACACTAAAGACCCTGAAGGGCACTACGGTGGAATAACGCCGCTCTCCTGAAGCTGAAGCGTAGCGTACTCACTTGCAGTTGATCTGGACGCGGCCACCCTCGAACTCTGACCTCTTGCCCCAGCGCTGAGGCAGCTCCAGTATCGTCGCTCCCCGCTGACCGATGAGAGCCACATGATACTGCGCGGGGCTGACGAGCACCTGACACACCTCAAACAGCGGCGGGTTGATGCACAGCAGAGTCTGCGGAGAGATGCGGGACATCGCTCGCTATTTACATGTAGTCAGTGAAATAAACATACCGGACAGACGCTATTCAAAGGCACTGACCTGGTATTTAGAAGTGTCTGTGTCGCCGTCGGTGTTCAGCTGTCGCAGGTTTGTGGTGTAAAACACGCTCTCAACACTGTCCCATATGAATAGGTCACCGTTCAGACAAAACGTAAGGTTCTTGGCTATTCTTTTGCTTGTCCCCTGAGGCTCTAAATTAAGCCTCTCTTGTAATTTACTAAAAATATCGTGGTTCTTCAGCGCTTCCCTCCAGCGATCCCCCGCAAACGACGCCATGTTTTCCCGTGTTGTCACAGAATGAAGTCGTCAGAGAAATCCACCAATAGGATCGCGCTACACGACTACAACGTTCCTGTTGCATCCCGGGATTTGTAGTTTATTAAGCGCGTTGTCATTTTAGCCCGTGCTGTAGCACATTGAAAGAAAGAAATAAGAAATATATATAAGCAACTCAGAAAAATTAAATAGCCGTAAATATAGGCTTAGTTTTAAGCTAAATCTATAAGCAAAAGCTCATTTATTTTTATTTCCTCTTTTTAATTTTTGAACTGAAATGTTTTGTCAGACATGTTCTTTGCAGGTTTCAGGCTTATGTTTGGAAAATTTTACTTACACAATTCCGATTTATGTCCAATAATTCCTTCTTTTTCTACTACACTCTAAAAATGCTGGTTGTTTTGACCCAGCGGTTGGGTTACTACCCAGAAGGTTGGGTTAAACATTTAACCCAACCGCTGGGTCAAAACAGCCCAATCGCTGGGTTTGTCCCTATTTTACCCAGCACTGGGTTGTATTTAACCCAGAATTTTTTAGAGTGTACTTCTTAATAAAAAGAATTTTAAAAAATTAAGTTAACAAAAGAGTATAATAAAAATAACATGCCAATTATATTTCACTATTTGTGTGGACAGCATACTTCTTAAAGTTGCAGATTAATTATATAGAAATGTATATTGTTGCAGTGTTCATATTGTTGCTATTGTTTTTTATATTTTATATATTTTTTTCTTAATACATGTAATGTAGCCTACTATTTTTCGTATAGCTGAAGCTTAGGCTATGCTAAAAGCTAAAGATAATTCTTAAATTCTTTCGAAAAACTCAAAATTATATTTATGTTAGACTTATAAACAATATATACATACTATATTTGTCTTTTTGCACAAGAGAAAGAACTCGGCTTATTGCAATTTATTCTTTGTATAAACAACCGTATAATATCTCCACCTTATGCAGCGTTGGGGAAAGTTACTTTTAAAAGTAATGCATTTACAATATTGCGTTACTTCCTAAAAAGTAACCAATCACGTTACTTCGTTACTTTTTATGGAAAGTAATGCACTTTTGCGTGACTTTTTCTTATCTGCCTTGGCCTCGTTTTTCTCTCTTCAGAAAAAATAAAGAAACACAAATGATATGTTTATCAGAAGTCATTTTTGCTTATTATTATGGTTGATCATAGAAGCAAAGACATTGGTTAATTAAATGGAATTAAATACATAAAGGATATTTGTGTTATTTAACATGTTTGCGTCATGTCCTGAGTTTGCATTTGACTGTTTTTCTTCATTTTGAGAAATACTGAATCTGTTTTTGTGCGAGCGAGACGAATAAGTAGGCTACATGTTGAAATTGAGTCTAGAACTACAGTAACATCATGTTCACACAGTTCACACAACGCCTCTGCGCTCCTGATCTCTCTCAACATGGGGACAGGGGAGCTGTCAGTCAATAAATGGGAAAACAAAGTAACTTGCGTTACTTATTTGAAAAAGTAACTCAGATATTGCATCTTCTAAATTAAAAAGTAATGTATTACTTTACTAGTTAGTCTAAAAAAAGTCTAAAAGTCATCTGATCAGGTAAACTCGCGTTACTTGTAACGCGTTACCCCAGCACTGACCGTATGTAACTGATTTCTGTATTTTGTATGTAATGTATGGCACGTTGTCAGTGCTGCGAGTGGCGCCTCCAGGCGGTGGAATGCGGAACTGGAGGAATCTGTAACGTGTCTGTGCCATAGTCTCTGCGTGCATTGTCTTCACAAACAGTCAGTGGTGCGCCTTCATGCCGATGAGAGCTTCTCCAGCACCACTCCCGTGTTCACGTACATCTGGCGCCGAGCGTGAGCAAAATGGAAGTTAAATGGCTGGCAAACGGAGTTGTTTAGTGCGCCTCACGGGGACCGGAATGTCCCAGAAAAGGGACGTGAACTCTTACCCAGATGGGTACCGGGTCCTCAATAGCAGTGAACTACGGGAGCTCCTACAAGATGAAGAAAAAATGAATCAGATCGTGCGACTCAGTGAAGAGGTATTTCTTCGGTGTACACACACAACAGGCTGTTTCTTTGCATGCTTGTCCTTTTTTCTCTGATCAACTGTTGTACTTGTCATTTGAACAAATAGATCAGACTGCTCGTGTGATTTGTGTAGCGTGTTATATATGCATTACACGCCATCACATAACGTTACATCCTGTAACGTTACTCCATACAGCGCTGCAGACCAGTGCACTGCAAAGACTCACATCCTTGATACAATAATGTTTTGTGCAGACGCTATTTCTTAAGGGAACCGTTTCCCAAATATTTACTGTCAACGGTTAAAGTTGTGTGCGTTAAAAGTAGCTAAATAACGAATTAAACTATTTTAGTAATATGCTGCTTCACATTTTGATGTTTAATTTCTCATTACAGTTTTGCCAGCGTACAAAAGTGTTGACAAAAACGCTTTTTTATTTTATCCTCCCTTGATATAAAAATCAGTTTTAATACGCAAGTCTTCGGAATACTTGATTCTGATTGGTCAATCGCACCATACCAGCACTGCATAAAGTGATTTATAGTATAATAAATTACTATTGTTATATCGTTGCAGTGTTCATGTTGTTGCCATATTTTTATTATTAATCTAAATAGTCTATTTTTCACAATAGATGTAATAGGCTATTTTTATTAGCCGAAGCTTTAGGCTTAACTGAAAGCGAAATATAATTATCAAATTCTTCTCGAATATTTCATGTTCAGTTATTTATATATGAATAGTTAATGCCCCCCATCCCCCCATATAGATTGTCTAAGAGTCGCAATAATGAGCGGCTGACTGTATATTATCTCTTAAATATCACTCATTGCATTTCAAGGGTTCATTGTAATGCAGTCAAGTGTTCAAGTTCATTGTATTCTATTCCTATAAATGCATTTGAAATGCATTTTGTGTGGTTGCAATATTTTCTGACTCACCATGTTTAGCCATAAAATCTCTCTCCCAGATGATCTTAAAGGGGTCAAATGATGCGATTTCAATTTTTCCTTTCTCTTTGGAGTGTTACAAGCTCTTGGTGCATAAAGAAGATCTGTAAAGTTGCAAAGACTAAAGTCTCAAATCCAAAGAGATATTCTTTATAAAAGTTAAGTGTTAACCACGCCTACCTAAAACGGCTCGTTCTAACACGCCCCCACATGTCTACCTCACTATCTGGGAAGATTTGCATAACGCTGTACAAATGGACGAAGCGGAGTCCAGCCCGGGGTCGTCACATGTGGTTGCCGCAGGCATCACAATATGGTAAGGGACGTAACATTTCCGTCACACGCTTGAGGAATTCGGCCAATCACAACGCACTGGATAGCTGGCCAATCAGAGCACACCTCGCTTTTTCAGACCGATGAGCTTTGTAAAAATCGACGTGTTTCAGAAAGGCGGGGCATAGAGGAGAAACAATAATGTACAGTATGTGGAAAATAATGTTTTTTTAACCTTAAACTGCATAAACACATTTCATTACACCAAATACACCAAATAATGTTCTTTTTAGCAACATCATATGACTCCTTTAACACATCAAGGTTATATGAGAGCTCCTAAGGTGCATCATTCATTTTCAGCTTAGAAAATCGTTTCTCATTTGGGACTGATCCGGTGTCACTGTAGACTGGGATGTATGACATCTGAGACTTAAATTGCTGTAGCCTGATACCAGATCCCTGCAGGCCTGCAGGAAGCCTGAGCATGCTATTGGAAATCTAAGGATAAATATGTTTGCACTAGGTCATAAATACATCCTCAGTCTTCATAAAATCTGATATACACGTCATATACAGCACATCGTACTCATAAATTGAAGGAATAGTTATTTATGTCACATTAAACTCAACTTTATTTTAATCTGTGGACACACAACAGGAGATGTCCTGGCTGCTCTTTTTAATAGAGTGAAAACGAATGAGGACAGAGGGTGTCAAGCTCAGAAAATGACAAAAACAGCATTGAACCAATCACAAAATCTGCAGAGAAGAAACTCCGAGCTCATGCTTGCACATGTTCAGACTTGCATCACGATTGTTCACGAGGCGACACATGAGAACCATTGGAAACACGACTGACTTCAAATGTATATGACGCATGTAAAGAGAGATTTTCATAACAGAAAGCCACCGTATGGCTTCAGAAGACTTACAATATTGGCATGACGTTTATAGTCATGGTCATTTTCTAGTGCTTTGTGGCCATTTATGGAACTTGACAGCCTCTGTCCCAATTCACTTTCATTGTAAGAAGAAGAAGAAGAGAAGAAGAAGAAGAATGAGTTTTTATTGCCAGGTATGTTTACACATACGAGGAATTTGTTTTCATGACAGAAGCTCCACAGTGTAACAGAATGACAGTGACAGAACAAAAACACAGATAATAAAAAATAGAAAAATAGAGCAAGTAAATAAGGAATAAAAATAACGAGAATGAACGAGCAAAACTCCCGCGGCGAATAGAACGGCTTACAGTTAATGAAGAGCACTTCTAGATCTGAACAGCACATCTTCTTTAACACAGTTACATCTGTACACCACCTCTCATTGATGTAAATGCATGTCCCACCACCGCGTGATTTCGCCGTTGATTCTGCGTTGCGATCTGCTCTGAACAGCTGAAAGCCCGGGAGACTCAACGCACTGTCCGGAATGGCGTCTTTCAGCCAGGTTTCCGTGAAACACAGAGCAGCAGAGTTAGAAAAATCCTTATTTGTCCGGGAGAGCAGAAGAAGTTCGTCCGTTTTGTTGGGTAGAGAGCGGAGGTTCGCCAGATGGATGCTTGGCAATGGCGTTCTGAATCCGCGCTGTCTGAGCTTCACGAGCGCGCCGGCTCGCTTCCCCCGTCTGCGCGTCCTGAAGCGCTTGATCAGCGCCACAGCTCCCCCGACAACAATGTCCAGCAAAACATCAGAATAGTCGAAAACCGGTGAAATATCGGGTGGTGTGTACTTCCGAATGTCCAGCAATTCGTCTCTGGTGAAACTGATTGCAGGGATATAACTAAAGACAGGACAAACTAACAAAAACATAAAAACAACTGCAGAGCACGCCACGGAGGCAGCCATCAGCGTCGGCGCCATTGTGTTTTGTATGTAATAGAGCAGCCAGGACATTCCTTTAAATTTCTCCTTTCGTAATTCACAGAAAGAAAAAAATGTCATACAGGTTTGCAATGGCATGTATAAATTGACATAATCAGTGCTGTTTGACTATTATGTATATGATTTTATAGTAGTTACTGTTATTTTGAATAAGCCTTTTTTTTATATTTTCAGTTTTCATTTTAATTTTAGTTTCAGTTTTATTAATGTTACTTTTTTTGTCAATTTCGTTAGTTTTAGTTTTTATATAATACATTTTTATAATTATTTATAATTAATTATTCATTTTTATGTCAGCTTTAGTAGTTTTAGTACTTCAGATTTAACTTATTTTAGGTAGTTGCCAAGACAATATTTCTATTTGTGTGTGTGTTTTAAGTTTAAATTGAAGTTTTTCATCAAATAAATATATATATATTTTTTTTTTCATCATTATTTTAATTACCAAAAACACTTTTCAGTAGTTTAGTTTTAGGTTAACATTAACAATCCTGGACAGAATTCTATTTTTGAAACTCAGCAGGCCACATTAGATACGTTACAGATGGTAAATATGTTTGTAACAGCAGCAGCATGGTGAAAATCTGAATTATAACTGCAAATACAGATGCAGCCTCTGTAATCTGCATCTTATGGATTGATGGTCTTTATCAATGGCTGTGCACGAGAGTTATGCGCTTGGGTCGTAGAGGTCAAACTCCTAACGACTTGTGATCGGTGAGGCCCATCACTATTCCCATCACAAGCAGGTCAATTCATTAACACACCGAGGTCTCCAAGGGCAACCGCAATGAAAGGGTCACAATGGTCCAGTGCTCTGGATGCAGTTATTGCTCTTGTGCGCGTGAGCGTCAATCCCTAACATGAGATTGTGGTGTTTTTACTAAATGGAAAAGGCTCTGTAATACCCGAGCTGTGCTCTTTCCTATGAATAGCAATGAGACGGCCTTTATGGTTAACTTTATGCGCTCATTATAGATACAGAGGGGAGAGTCAGACATACTCCTTGAATTCATCAGTAACAGCAGTCCTTTGGTCATTCATGGTTTATTGACCAAGCCAAACTATCTTGGACTAAACAGATGGTCTTAATGTACTGTGCTTACGCTGCATGCTTAATGTGTACAGCCATCATTAATCATATGGATTCTTACCTTTGCTGTTTTGTATTGCTTTCATGTTGAAAACAACTACATCTTAAGCTTGGATGTGAAATCTCATTGGCGCAAACTAATGATGGGAATTTGGAAAGAAGCTGTCTGTTTGTCGACCAGTGGCAGACGGGACAAGTGTGGAATTTTTTTTCTATTTTAATTTTTAATTTTAATTTTTTAATTACTATATTTTTTTTAGCATAGCTTAAATATTTTAACAGTTTTATACTTTTAATACAAATTTAAGAAAAATATTAAATTAAATTTATTTAATAATTTTTACCAACTGGTAACTGTTTTTGCCTCCAAAATATGCAATGTGGTGCTTCCACAATATGTATGTAATGTAAAATTATGGAAATTAATGGAAAGCACGGAAAATTAGCTAAATACACTACCAATAAAATGTTTGGGGTATGAAGTATATATATATTTTTTAATTTGATGGTTTTCTTCTGTGAAGATGCATTAAATTGATCAAAATGAACCGTAAATATTTATAAAATTACAAAAGATTTCCATTCCAAATAAATGTTGTTCTTTTGAACTTTCCATTCGTCAAAGAATACTGAAAAAAAATTATGTATCAAGGTTTCCACAAAAATATTAAGCAGCACGACATGTTTTCAACATGGATAATAATAATAAGAAATGTTTCTTGAGCACCAATTCAGCCTATTAGAATGATTTCTGAAGGATCATGTGACACTGAAGACTGGAGTAATGATGCTGAAAATACAGCTTTGC